ATCGAAATAATCGATTAGAATCATCGCTATATATCATGGTGAAAGAAGACAAGTGAGACAACGCGCATAACGGCAATTCGTAACAATCAGTTAGTCAATCAAATTTGGGTCATAAATTTTGATTTTATCGCATATTGACCGCAGCACAAACTCTTACATAATGCATAAGGGAATCAACATATCGAAATTTTTCTTTTCCAAGAAATGGGAGGAAAGAAAAGATTCTGATTAGTTGATTCGCTTATGCATTATGCATTATGCAAAAATCTGTGCTGTGGCCTTAAGCGAGGAGCACAGATAAAAAATTCAATCAATCAGAGTTCTTTATTTCATGGAAAGGAAGGAAACGGAAGACTTTAATTAGTTTATTTTCTTATGCATTACGTGTTATGCGTTATGCAAGAGTCTGTGCTCCCCGCTGTATCCCTCAAATTGTCTCACCTATCTTCTTCCATCATGGCTACATATTATAAATTACGTTTACATGACTGGATTTACATCAAAGTTATAACGATATTATGAAACTGGCTAGTCATAGCTATTCTCTGAAGAATAGAACTGTGATTGGCCAGTTTTATAACATCGATGTTATAACTTCAGTGTGAAGGTACCATTTCATGGGATGCTGAAAAGCAAATGTGTTACGTGACCATCTTCTACGATACTGCGTCAAAGTGACAAGCAAAATAGACAGGGATCATACAAGTCGGAAATACAGAGATAAATACAAAAAAGAAGAACACGACAAAATGATTAACTTTAGATTTAAACAAGATGAAAGCTAAAGAGAAGGTAAGTATTTATTTATAAATAAGTTTATCATATTAATTGTTTATTCTAAAATTATTCAATTTTTTTTATTCTTTTTCATTCTAAAATAAAAAGTTAGATTAAATCTGCAGAATATAAATAAATACCCAAATAGCAATGTGTCTGTCTTGTTGCTGGCATGCTGCTTGCTATGTGTTACTACCAGAATTATAGCAACTGAGTATTCATTTGTGGGCAATTTTCACGATAAGATAACATTGAGCAACTTACCAGCAATTTGCCGACAACTTTAAAATTGTCATAAAAATTTTTATTGCCATAATGTTACCACAATAATATGCAGCATCATACAATGCTGTCATATTGTCAAAAACAAAAGATAACATTGCAGCTATCTTGCTATTAAACTGCTGGCAGTACATATGCATGTATCGTTGTCTGCATGTTGTTACAATGTGGGTATATTTGAAATCGTTGAAGACAAATTTACGGCAAATTATCAGCATCATAAGCAATCACAGATTTGCACGATTTTGCTGAGACGCTATCTGGATATATATCTATTAATTTGGATGAAAGTATCGAAATAAATAAAGATATAAATAAAAATTATATATTTGTAAAATCTAATTTCAATAGTTATTTGACACTAATATCCATTTTATCAAAAAAAATTTTAAAAACAAACGCGTTTATATTAAATTAGAAATTATACTATGCAATATTATATATTTTTTTATCAATATAATAATTTTCGTAATTTTCGAAAATATTAATTTTAAATATTTAGTACAAATTTTACACAATATTGAAAATTAATTTTAAATATCATTTTCATATCTTTTTTATCAAATTCCGTAATAATGTCAAGTATCCAAATTAGTTCATAAGTGTATATTTTCTATATTTTTATTCTATCATTGCAAAATAAGACTAAAGACTAGACTGCTGCTGACACTGACTTGACTCTTAAAATTGAACACTAACTCTTTAATCCTTTTTATGCACTTTTCAGCGACAACTTCGATTACGTGACTCACTTTGACGCTGAAAATGAGCGTCGAGCGTCAGCATGAAAAGGCATCTTAATCGAGCTATGTAAACGTAGTCATAGATTTTCGACTGATTCTTTTTCTTATTTCAAACTCGAAATTATTCTATATTATCATGTATATATACAGCAGATAAAATGGACAAGAATAATCTTGAAACTTTCCATTGATATTTCACATAATTCTATCGTTATTGAAGAAGTTGGCATCGCATACAAGATTATGGTATATTATTATAACTATTTTATATTCTGGATAAAAAAAGTAAAAGAACTTGTACACGCCACGTAACGAGACAAAGAAGAAAAAGATTAAAATTATTTATTTGTGTGCATATCACATATGACGAATGTGCGAGCAAACTTATTATTATAGCAAGCGAATATGCACAATGACTAGTCAGGAAAAAGAGACGATTATTACAGAACTTATTTATGTTTTGTTTACGGGGGGGAGAGGGAGAGGTACGTCTTTCTATTATACTGTCGTTATCCGAGTGGATTCTGTGGCTATTTCTGTATAGCAATCTATCGTTTCTAATTTACCCTGCTCCTCGTTCGATTTAGTTTTGGCCGCTTGCGATGGAATGTCTGAGTTTGGATTGTAGTTGAAAGGCGATACGATTGCTGAAGCTGGCATCCGCATGTCGCTACTGCTGTCCTCTGCTGTTGTCATTGAGTCCACTCGAATAAAGGAACCAAGTCTGGATATTCTTTTGGTGAGATCCGCTTCTGCTGCGAGGTCAGCACTCGGTTGCTTCTTCATTAGAATATCACTCAACTGTGTGATTTCCCGTTTGTACGTTTCTTGTACAGAAGATTTCACTGGTATCTTGCAAGGCGCTTCATAGGCATTTATATCTGTAAAATCGCGAGAATTCCTGTACTTGAGACCGTCACATTCTATCTGCGTGCCTAAAACTGGTTGTTGGTTGGATTTGGATTTGTAGGATATCTCGCTGTTACTGCCATCCTCCTGGGAAATTCCCTCGAACGTGGAACTGCGGAATAGTCTGTATGCTGGTGGATTATTAAACGTGCCAGCGGTTGCGACGTTTACCTCGGTGGCGCTATTAGTGGGCCTTATCCATTGCCTAGTGTCCGGTTTCTCGAAACGCTGCTTATTCTTGTTCTCCTCGACCTTCTTCCAAAGATTTGCAATCTTACTCGTTGCCTCCTTCGCCAACTTACGATTTTGTACGCTCATAGGTGAATTAGAAATTATACTGGAATTACTATTAGATCGTTGTGTCAGTGGATTGATCTTTCGCACAGTTTTGTCATTCTGTAACACATTACCGTTAACAATTTTTGTTGATATACCTATTTTTCCAGATGATATTTTTTTCGATACCATTAACAATCCTTTAGATGATTGTATCTTTTTGGAACTGTTAACCATAATTTTTGGTTGATACTCTTGTTGCGTTTTCATGGAAACGGATTTGGATTTTCCCGTTGCCGAATATATCCTTGATGAAACATCTCTAATTGGTTTGGCGATCTTCGTCTTTATTGGGGAAGATGACGCGGAATGCACTGTCGGTGCATTGTCTACCTCTGGCTCGTCCTTTGTAAAAGTTCCTTGACGTTCTAATAGCTTAATTGGGACTTCTGACGATTTGCTATCGTTTTGATAGTTCGATGAGCAAGCCGGAGGTGTACTATGACGCTTAGTGGGTTTAGTGGAAATTAACATGGATCCCCTTTGAGGTATGGAGGCCCTTTTGGAAACAGTCGCTAAATTTCGTGTCTTCTCTACGTCCGCAGAAAGCGAAGTTCTCTTCGTATTAGATTTCGGAGAGTCCTTCATAGCAACTATTGTACTATTATTATTCTTTCGCAAAATAATAGCTCTAGTAGCTCTAACAATAGGTGAAGTATTGCTGCGGCCTATTGGTATCCCGCTGACAGGGTTTACTTGCTTCAATGGCGAGGATTGTGGGGTCGGCTTTCGTGTTATTGGGTTGGAATATAGTGCCTTTCTTCGCCCTCGAATAGCTTTTGGACTTTCTGGCTCAGATTTATCTGTCCCAGTGGAATCCATACTCGGATCTCGATCTAACGTTGACGGCTTGATTATTCGTGCCTTTTTTGGTTCTTGTCCTTTATCAACACAATTGAATTCCTCATCACTGCCTGAATCAACTGGGTTTGTTAAGCTCAGATTCTCATAAGCGATTTCTATATGCTCGTTTTGCAATTCCTCATTATCAATATTCGCCATGGGAATTTGGGTATCGTTATCGTATTGTGTACTTATTAATTTTTTTGAAAGTCCATTTACGAAACGTATTCTTAGATTATGATTTGACTCGGAATCATTCAATGCCAAAGTAGTCTCGCAACGCAAAGTATTTGCGGTTGAATCATTAGTTTTATTTGATTCATTTAGAGTGTTTAGCATGGTGGCATTCTGTTCTAGCATGCTTTGAATTTCCTCCTGTACGTATTCTTGCGCACTTGCTTGCCCCTCTTCCATTATATTAATGATCGAAGCTTGATGTTCAGAATTGCATTCGATCTCTTTGAAGACGGTTTCTGAATTGTTCAACGTTCTTGTACGATATCTCTCCTTGTTTTCTTGCGAATCCCCGTGTTTCCTTCTCATTGCTTTACACACGGGCAATTTCGTAAGCATAGGAATTGAAGACTTGACGGGGAATATAACTTCCTGTTTCTCAACAGCGTTGAGCTCTTCAATGGTCTTATTAGTTTGAACTACGTTCAGATCCGGAAAAGGATTCTCTAGTACTTGTGTCTGGAATCTCGCTCTATTCTCTGCCCTGCGTTGTTTTGGCGTTAGTTTCGAGAAAGGAGAACATTTTCTATTTGGAATTCTATTATCCGCATCGTTGACAATATCGTCTTGTTTTCGTCGTTCTTCCTCTTTTTTCTTGATGATTTCTGCAGCAATGGTATATGTCTTGTATCTCTCTTTCGCTAAGTTTCGTTTTTGTTTCGGAGTTAAATAGCTTTTCGAATGTGATCGTTTCTTCGGCGTCGATTCAGCGGAACTGCTGACGCAATTTTCGGATGAGATTGGCGTGACTGCCTCGTCAGTATCGTTCTCTGCTTCATCAATCACCTCCGCTACGATCGAGTGCACTACTTCATCAGTGTGCAACTCCATATCTATACACAAAGTGTCGCTGCACATGATGTCGGTAGTTGCTTCCATCGTGGATTCGTCCATTTCAGTCACCTCATTGAATAAGGACGGTGGATTGATATTCTCCAAATATTCACTCAGGCTGTTATTCGTACTGTTTTGCATACCCTCGACATAACGCATGCATGTCATGGACAGCACGTTGGCAACTGGTTTCAGCATTTCGAACACTACTGGATCGCTGCCAGTCAAATTATGCGAGTCTTGTTCTTTCGAATCCGCGATCTCCGATGTAATGCTAGCCACGCTTAACATGCTATTCTCCATATCACCTACATCCGGTAGTTCGTCCATCATGGATGGTGGTTTGACATTCTCCAAATGTGAGCTGGTGCATTCGTTCAGCAGATTTTCCAAGCTAGTCGTGTGGCTCTGACCTTGACCCAATGCTCGCTTAGCTACCACGCCAATTGGCAAGGATTTCTTTCGTACGTTACGAGAATCATTGAAATTTCTCACTGGCGCCGGTGGCAGCGACGTAGAATAACACCTATCTCGGTTGATCAACGTCTCAATGTTATCAGCAGTACCAGCGTAACTTGCCGTCAGTGAAAATAAACTTCCCATCGAGGACGGCGGTTTGATCGCCTCGATGGATATCAGACTCGTTGTTTCGAGCTCATTCTGGTTATTTATCTCTGCGTCCACCGCTTCTGCTAATTTGATAGCCTCGCGTTGGATGATTTTTGACTCTGTCATGTTAATCTGCTCGGTATTTTCTGATATAGTAGTACGCTGATCTTCCTGTGCGTCGCTGTTGAATGAAGCAACCAACGGTGCACTCATGCTGATACTGGGAAAGGAAATGTCATTGGGCGAATCTTCATTCCATGTGTCGCACGTTAGACTCTGTTTCATTGTACCGGAATCTCGTTCACGTATCGCTTCAGTTTGTTGAACCAGTGTTGCAGTCAATCGATCTAATGAAGCAATCATAGCATCGGGATCTCTCTGTCGTCTATATGTCTCTTCTTTTGTATGTTTTTCTATGCAGTCACGATGAAGAACATCTAGGGTTCTCATGATTTCAAAGGTTGTTTCCGGTTTACCATTCATATTATCTTCAATCTCAGTTTCATCATTATTTTTTTCTTTTATAATGTCCATTTGTTTGTTGTATAGCTTTAATTGTGATTTAATATAATCTGCGTTACTTTGGTTCAATGTGATGTTACCTTCGGATTTTATACCAGATTGAATACATAGTTTTAAAAGTGCATGTTCAGACTGCTCGACAGAATCGATCGATTCGCTGCTTTCAGAATCTTTTGATTGCTTCATAAATGGTATATCTGTGAGTCGAACATTATCAATTATTGCTTCGTCTACTCTAATGGAGTTATTTTGATCTCTGCCACGTTCATCAATTATGACAAAATCATTGGAAACGTTTTTATCTAAAGATGTATTAGATGTCTGTAATATAGATATTGCCTCTTCTGAGAAATTATTGCTGAAATTATTACCATTTACTGTTTTCATGGTCGTAGTGTTATTTGATTTCTCATTATGTATATTATTCATGTTTGTCGTTATCTGTGAACAAAATACTTTTTAAAATATAATTAAAATAAGTATATATAATATATATAATATAGTATATAATTATATATAATATAGTATTATGAAAAATTAATATTAAAAAATCAGTCAGAAATATTCTTACTGTTTCCAATTGAAGATTTTTTTTAGATAGTTTTTCATTATTATCTTTCTTGTCTTCTCTATTCTTCTTTGTCAAAATGTTTTCAGCTGTGTTTTCATGAGACTCTATGTACTTTACATTAAACGGTGAACTATTGGACATTACAATTCCTTTATGCTCGACTTGATTTAAAGCAAGACTAGTTTGATATCGAGTCAGATTAGTTTCTAATCGAGGAAGTTTTTCGAGATTATTTCCTATAAAGGAATGTCTATGCCTATAAAATAAGATAATTTCGTGAAAATTGTAAAATAACAAATTATGTAAGTGTCACAGTAATCATTTTACCGATTATTTTGCATTCCAATATTAATACAAGCAGCTAGTAAATCCTCATCATCCTCGTCTCCGTCGCTAACTTGATCTATATATATCCAGAAAAATTTTGTGTTTACTGAATTAGTCTATTTTTCCACAATTTTCGCGGAATTATATGTATTACTTACATCCAGAATCGTTATTGGAAATCTTTAAACTAATATTGTCAGCTAAGAGTTCAATGTCATTCAATGGTAAATTTTTATTTATTTTATTTGGTTTGGAGTCTACAAATTTATATTATTTGTGAGGAAATTTATTAAGTCTGTTTAAGTTATACGAAATATTTAGGCTAAGTAAAATGTTTTAAATTACCAAGACTATTAATCCTAGAGCTGGATTCCCCATTATGATCGTCATATTCAGAATTTCCTAATATCATTGAAATTGGCGTCGTTCTTACACTGCGTAAATATCACGCAAATAATTATTAAAAAACACACACATATTCTAATATAATAATTCATTATTTAAAGCTTGAATTCTACATAAATATGAAGTATCATGGTTAGAAAGCATAATTACCTTGATTGACTTTGCACAATTGCATCTTCTCGATTTTTTTGCTTGCCTTGATCTTCAAGATATGGTAACAAACGATTTGCACTTTCATCGTCCGTAAGATGTGTTACATCTCGTAAATTCAACTCCATTTTCGATTTGGCGAAATTGTTCAAATTTTTTGGTACGTTCGTCAAGGACGGCGCTTTGCATTCACTATGATCTTCTACATGTCTTGCCTTATATCGTTCTGGTAATTTTTTCGACAAGCTCCTTATACGACTATCATCCTGCAGATCAGAAGCGGAAGTGGCTCTGGACGAGTTCAAGGATGCACGCGGCGTTCCCTCCGTGTAGTAAGTTTTGATTGTATCTTCGTGCTGAAGTTCTTGATCATTGCCTGAGAAGAAATCGGATTGCTTCTCGTCGTCTATAGTTTGCTCGCCATACCGCAAACTATAATCGGTTGGTTGATCCAAATCTGTTTCAGCATAATCACCGAATAAATTATCGTCCGGGCTTTGAATGATCATTGCGGACGATATTGTTTTTTGAACACTATTTAACGTGTCATGTTGGCGCAATAAGACTTTTCTCGTGCTTTCTTTCATAGAAGGAACATCAGACAAGTCGGAGGTTGGCTTTGAATTGTCGACAATTGCATTTGTGGTTGTTCGATAATCCAATTTAATATGAACAGTCGCTTCAACTTCCTCGGACACGCTAGATTGACTATCAGCTTTGGATAAGGATGACATTTGATCGATCAGAGATATGTTGTTCTCGATGGAAGAGTGTAACGAGATCTGAGTGGGTTCTTGATTAGGCACTGTGGCCCATGATATAGTAGAATTCGTGCATCTCAGCTTGTTTAATGTCGAACCGAAAACATCGGAAGGTTTTAATTGTTCCGGTATTGCGTTTTTATAACACAGGGTGTATTTTCTCTCGGAGGAAGTGGTTCTCGGATGAATATCGCCACATACACCGTTGTTGCAGAATCCGATAGCAGAATGCAACGATGAGGATTGTTGCTTGATCTGCGAATCGGTGGGCGATATACCATTCAGAACATGACGATTTACCCGTTCGAATATAGTGTCGGAATGGGTGCTCGTCACAGAACGCATCGAATCTCTACTCTCGCTCCTGGCTACTCCATTGCATTTGATAGTAGACGTGCTAGGCTGACTGTGCAACTGATAAGAGCGCAATCTGTGAGTATTGATCCCAAGAAAGCTATGATCAAGTTTGAATGTGAATTTTTCGTTTTTATTGGTTGGCGATGTGCTCGGCTCGATATTGTCGCACGTTTCCGCCAGATTCTGGTCGATTTCCTGCTCTAGAGCCCGCTGCCTGCGAGCGACCAGGCTTGGCAAGGTTGACAGTCCCAGTCCTCGAGCGGTAGAGTCTAAGTGGACGAGATTGTTACAACCAGGTCTAGCGCTCAATAGATTTTTTAAGGCTGCACTAGAACCCATCGAAATCATTTTGTGCTTGGAGTGAACGAGACTGCGTAACATCGGTACAGCACCCAGATCCCAAAGGAGACGTTGATCCTGAGTACATCGCGCGGACAGATTCCAGAGCGCTCCGCAGGCATTACTGACTACTGTCAAACTGGGCGATTTTAACTGTTGCAGGAGAACTTGTAGACAGCCCCTCTCTCTCACAATGGTTCGATAATCCTCTCGTACTGCCACATGGCTCGATACGTTTCTCAAAATACCACCGGCATTTTCGACTATCGCAAGCGTCTTAGACGGCGCCTTGTAGCTTAGCATATCTACAAGAAAGGCTAGAGCGCCATCCACAGCGCAGATATCCACTTTATTCGTGCTGCAGTGGGCCGACAAGTTCCACAGAGCGGATAGGATTGATTTGAGGGTGGATTCCTTGCGGCCTTCCATAGCGGCTTTCATCAGGCCTGTCACCGCACCTACTTCTCTCAGAGTCTGTTTGCTGTTACTATCGGCACGCCAGGATAGATTTCTTAAAACGCTCGCTGTCACTTGCCTCAGGTCATCGCTGGGACTTTTCAATTGCGAAACTAACGCCTTCATAAATTCCTTGAAGGAACAGAGCAGTGCCTTATTATTGCCATCGCCGAAAGTCAAGTTGGTCAATGCCATTCCTGCATATCGTCGCAATGTGATGCAATTTTGATCATCGCTTTCGCTACCATGAATCAAATGGTCCATCTCAATGAGTTCCGCGACGGCATGAAGGCCGCCCAGCTGGCACATTGCGTGGCGATGAGCTTCATCGAAAGATAGTTTCATAAGCGCAGCTATCGTCGTCGCAGGGTGTCCCCTCTCGAGGTCATCCGTGAGCTGATCCTGTTCCAAAGATATTCTCAGATTCTGACAATAGTCACGCAATTGCTCGAGGAATCGAAGCACTCGTGCTTCCCGGCGACCAGCTCTCTCGTCACTTTTGGCATGCACCACGTTGTGTAATGCCTGCATAGCTTTATTTCGAGTGTCAGGATTTTGTCCAGGTGCGTGAATCAGTTGCACTAATAGCGGTAGGCAGCCTGACTGTCTCATTACCAGGCAACTATCTATGGAAGTACTCATAGAAAGCAAAGTCGTGCTCATATCATCTCGACCATTCTTTTCGAGCATACCGAGAAGATTGTACACCACGTCCACCTTGGCATCTAGTCGACGATGACCTTGCAGCTCCGTGGAGTTGTCTTCGAGACCCGCATTCGATGATGATGAGAAACTTATTACGCTGGCCACATCCTACACATGAACATAGAATTTGGAGCAATATTTTCATTTTTCCAGATAACATGAAATCATTTTTTAAAATGCCATTTCTTAGACACCTCTTTAGAGAGACTTTCTGGAGTTCACATTATTTGGGATCATAACACACTGAATATTTTAAAATCACCATTCCTCCAAAACTACCGGATGTTCTTTTAACCATCAAAAGAATAGATGAAGGTTTTGGTATGCCGTATGGTACGAAAAATATTACAAATCGCAAATATAATTTACGCCGTTATAACTTACATTTTGTGTAGAAAGTGATGTGCTCTGCTGAGTCGGAAAGCCAATTTGCTGATTAGCCCATACGTCTCTTCTGATGGGCCATGTTCCACGATACAAAGACGGTAGTCTATGGCTAGGCAGGGAAGTGCTATTCTGTTTAGCTTCTTCCTCGCTGCTACCATCCTCATTGTAATATTTACTTCTCCTCAAGCATAACTATAATTGCAAAAGATTTTTTTCCCAATTTCTGATCTCGTATCACATGTAAGAATAGATTTTTGCGATTTTATCAATGTGATCTTTTCTTTCGTGACAGTTTTTCAAGCTCAACAAATGACATAATGCGGTCATTTTATGATGATACGATGATTTTTCTTGAAATATTTACATGTGTACACGATACAGAAAAATATTTGTTCATTAATTTTAAACGTAAAATTTGTGACTTCATTTATTGATATTTTACAATTAAATTACTTTACTCAAACGTTCATGATTCAAATAAGATGTTTTTATATTTTCGAAAAATCAATCTCGGATAACATATACAAGAAGAAACATGCTGCAACGTGCTTGAAATTTTCAACACGTTCACAAATGAAAATGAATAAAGAAACAATGTAATGCAGACGAATTTTGGAGGATGATGACTTATAAAGGGTCAAACCCAGAAAAGAGAAAAACTCAGAAACGGGGCTCAGGGAGGAAAAGGAAATGTGCGTACATGTGCGCGAAAAAGGAAAACGTAAGTGAGTGAGTGAATGAGTGAGTTAGAGAGGGAGAAAGAAAGAGGAAGGGGAGAAGAAGGGGAGAGAGAGAGGAGGAGAGAGAGAGAGAGAGAGAGAGAAGCGGACGGTGGATGACAAGTGCAAGACAGAGATGAAAGTCGAGGGCTTCCATAAAATCAATACGAGATATGTTAGTGAAGTGTATATTCGTGCGCCACGAGCCACGAGCATAAGGCAATTCGTAAAGCAGCGGTTTTCAACCTTCTTTTCACAGAGATTTTTATTAGAATTGAAAAAAAATGCATGATTTCAAAATGTAATGCATTGCAATTAGATGTAACCTTAATTTCTACATCTATATTAAAATTAGATTTGAAACAGTGATAATATTTACATGTTATTTAATTTTTTGAAATGCAGATTTTATGTAATTTCGAAGTTAATGTTATATTATTTACAGAGTCTGAATGGAATAGTTTGATAATTTAGACATAACAATTTTGTCTTGAATTAATAGTGTAAATCCAACGATGATATTAATATTGATATATAATACTACGTACATTATTCCAGGTATAAAATTCGAATTTATCATAAAATCAAGTCGCAGCACGATAAAGAATTTCATTTTGGAAGAACCCTTCATGCACTAGAGAATTTAAAAATCACTCTCTCTTACGTATGAATATAAATATATTCGGAATACTTTACATAGATGCTGTTATGCACAATAAAAGATACTCTCATAAAAAAAGATGAAAAAGACGCTACCTCGGGACTTGGCGTTATCGAGCATCGTTCGTCTTCCTCCTTAGTCTCTGGCTCCATGGCATCCTCCTTGCTAGTCTCAATGATAAGAGGACGATCCTGATAAATACACTGCAGTCTCGACGGCGCTGCGGCATCGACAGCGACGGCGCCCTTCACAGCGCATCTCTGTGAGGTGGCGGCAGCAACGACGGGGTTGAAAGACGCTGCTGCGGCGCCTGAGTCTAACCTGCGCGACAACAGGGGTGATGGCGACTGCCATCCTTTCTGTGTACTCCATACACTGGCGACGCCTTTCACTTCGATACCCGCCGCCGCTGTCGCTACCGTTGCCGCTGCCTCTATCGTCGACGATGAACCGCACGATACGCGACCCTCCGTTGTGCGCGGTCTGTCCCGGCGGGTTTTCGCGTTTTTCTGGAAAGAGAAGAGAAAAGAGAAAAGTGCATCAGCGCGGAAGCGAAAATGGTGAGCGAAAATAGTAAATATAAAGGGAAAGAGATCTTAGTTTCCTAAGATTCAAAATTTCATTAAAAAATGAATAATAAATAAATAAAAATTTAAACGAAAAATAAGAATCGAATTATAAATTAAGAAAAGAAACGATTATATTACATATTCGAATTCTGATCGTATATGTATAATTCGAAAAAATTGATTCTATATTCTTTTGGTAAAATAGTAATACGTTAACATTACATGTTTCAGCTGCAAGATCGAGCCTCAGATGTTCAATAATTATGACGTAGAAAAATAGATTGCAGTGAAAACAATAAACGTTGATTCGTGATGGGGAGAGAATGTTCAGTAAGCCATGAGTAATTTCCAGAGCGAACATAAGAGATTTGTTTTTTATTGCTGCACTCTCTGAACTGGTGCACACAATCCAATAAGTTGAAGTGAGACAAATATGCGTTTGTTTCACTTCAACTTATTGCACTGTGTACATCAGTTTCGAGAGTGCAGCAATAAAAAACAGATCTAATTGTTCACAGTTGATCGATTGTGTGGAGAATTGACTATGTGGAGATTCGATATGATCAGTACATCGGTTTCGAGAGTGCAGCAATAAAAAACAGATCTAATAGTTTACAGTTGATCGATTGTGTGGAGAATTGACTGTGTGGAGATTCGATATGATCTGATAAATTTTTTTACATAAAGTTTACTTTGAAGAAATTGTTAATCTATATAATCTATTTCAATTCACAAAATTACGTGGTCGCAATAACAGACAGTATATAACTTTTTCATTTTGATGAATAAGTGAACCATTTCGATAAAATCATCACCTTAAACTCGCATTTTAATGAGCTAAATTTATTCGAGCGTGTAAAAGGATTAAAAGAGAATACAATTTTTACTTTTTTAGGAGCAGGGATTAATTTATTTATACATTTTATATATTTTTCTTCATGAAAACTGAAAATTATAATAATGACGCTATATTCAAGAAAAAATTGATATATTGAAACAAAATTAATAAAATTCTTTAATTCATATTGTTACAAAATCACTGTCAGTTACGTTCAATGATTTAAAAACTATTCAGAGTTGTTGATTTATGTTTAAATTAGTTTTAATTAAAAACATCCCATATAGCACAGAAACTTGTAGTTACATTGCAGAAATGTTGCAATATATTGCAGCTTGCGCTGTAACATTATAAGTATTAGGAATTGTACTATAATACATATTACGGCGAAATTTTTAAAATATTGCAGCATTGTTACAAAGACATAAAAAAATATTTTAGCTTTTGAGTAATGAACTTAGCTTATTGGTTACCGCGTCGCATTTTGCTGCGCAGCAAATATTTCCATGTCCAATGCGGGAGCCATTAGGAATTATAATGTTCGTTAAAATATTTGTTTGAAATCTTGTCGCCGCCGTGCAATAAGATTTTTCAAACTTTATAATCAGCTTTCATAATTTTTTGGAAATTTGAATTTAAAAAATTCTTTGAGTATTGCAAAGAAAATAAAATAAAATGCGTGGAGTTTTTTATTATTTCCATTTCACTATGCAATAAGAGCAGGATTGTAGTTGTGTATACATACTTATTAAACGTAAGTATAGTATAAAATTAGCATAAATATATAGTATATACGTACATCAGCTAAATTGTTCTTACGGTAATGTCATTTATGTGTATAATAAATGTTTTTACTACATGTGAGCAATGTGAAACATATTTTATATGTCAAGAAATAGTTGATAAAAGACATAAAATTTTATGTATGTATATAATGCAAATAAAGATAGTATAATGTAATTATAATTCTACTTAAATAAATGTTTTTTAATGCGTTTATAATTTGCGAAAATTATCCCTTTAATATCGTATTAAATAGGATTTAATAACCAGGTATGTTACACTTTTTAAATACGTTATTTGAAGAAATAGTAAACGTATTTTCTGTCTCATACATTGAGCGCAATTAATTTAAGATTTATTGGAAATGCATTTTACTTATAAAATGAAAAACATTTAAGAAATATTTGGAGAATATGATTGAAATCCGAATATGATCAAATTAAATAATCATACCTGAATTTTAATCCTATTCCGTAAATGTTTTTTAAATGTTTTTCATTCCATAAACAAAATAAGTTTTTAACAAATCTTAAATTAATTGTGCCCAATGTATCAGATAGAAAATATATTTATCAAACATCGCCGCGATGAAAGCGTATAAATCTAATATAATATATGTTCAATCTTTTATTAACATATTAGGTATGGGAAAAAATAGCGTTTTTTTAATGCCATCTAACGGGAAAAACGCCACGAACTTTTTCCCACACCTAATATTTAAAAAGTGTAACATATTTATTAAATCCTTAATACATTTATGTTATTTAAAGGGATACTTTTCATAAATTATAAATTAAAAAAACATTTACTTGAGCGTAACATTATACTATTTTTATTTGCATTGTGAAAGTACATAAACTTTTGCTGTTCCATGATCTATTTTTCAATGTATAAAATATGTTTCGTATTGTGTACGTAGTAAAATATTGTGTACATAATAAAATCTACTATTATAATACAGGGTGTCCCGAATTTAAATGTCTAAATTTTGGGAGCGTGTAGAGGATCGATAAACTAAGAAAATTGCCAAAAGTATATCCATAAATTAAATGAAATTATAATTTAGTAATCACTAAAATGAATATGAATAAATACCTTAAATCTTAAATTAACAAATCCAAAATTTCTTAAGTAAAGAAATAAAAGATGTTTCAGACAATCAGTTGAAAATAAAGACAAAAAGAAATAAAACGATGTAATGTCTCTTCGGTGTTATGAAACATAATGAAATCACAAATTGAACATTCAAGGAAAGAAGGAAAAGATTGGTGAAAAGTAGTGAGAGGTGAAAAGTAAGAGGGGATAGAAGTATAGAAGAAGTCATAGAAGGAATGATAAAGAAAAAGAGGAATTAAGAAGAGGAGAGAGGATAATCTATAGATAAGATTCAGACAATGATTCTATGTCGTTTTGTTTATTTAAGCCCTGCTTTTGTCTTTTTATATATGTGAACTATTTCAGAAATCAATCTCTTATTGTAGGAAGATTCACTATCTAAAATCTTCATTCCATCTGAAATTGGAGTTGACATTAATACGGTAATCGGATGTGACAGATGGAGAATCCGTTTTTTTGTTGATATCTGAAATATGTTCACATATTTTCGTACTATTTTTTTTTATTTGGCCGATATAGCTAGCTTTGCAATCATCACATAAGATTTTATAGACCACATTTTGATTAGAAAATAATTTTAGCTTGTCCTTTTCTTTCTTTAAGAAACTTTTTAGAGTATTGATAATGGAAAATGTTAATTTACAATGAAACATGTTGGATATAGGTGAGAAAGAAGACTTTCGAAGATAGATTTAACATAAGGAATTGTGAAAAATTTTTCTTTGATTTGTGGGATATAGTTTATTATATCTGTTTATTATGTATGTGAAATTTTAATCGTTTTTCTATAATGGAAAAAATAAAGGAGAGAAGATAGCCATTATTAAGAAAAATATGAATTCTTCTATTAGATTATTATGTTGAAACCGAGGATGTGATAATAGAAATATTTTATCAAAATTAATAATTATGCCTCTTTTGTGACAAAAAGGGTGATTGGAAAAAAATTAACTTTCCAGAAAAATGTTGTTTTGTGATATATTGAAAATAATTCTCTGACTATCAATAATTAAAGTCATGTCAAGAAAATTCAATCTATCATCGATGCTAACCTCCATAGTGAATTGTAACCGTGTATGTAAAGAATTAAAAATATTAAGTGTGTCATCAATATTATTAGAATATCTCTTACTTTCACCTCCCACTATTTTCCAACAATCTTTTTCTTCCTTCCTTGAATGTTCAATTTGTGATTTCATTACATCAAGTCTCATAACACCAAGGAGACATGACATCATTTTATTCCTTTTCGCATTGTCTCTATTTTCAACTGACTGTCTGTTCCTGAAATACCTTTTATTTTTTGACTTAAGAAATTTTGGGTTTGTTACATTTAAGATATTTATTCATATTAAATTTAGTGATTACTAAATTATAATTTCATTTAATATATGATATACTTTTGGCAATTTTAACTTTTATTGATTTTGCTTTGTATTATCTCAATATATTAGATTGTCTGTACACTATTCTTAACAATTTTTCCTTGTTGGTTTTTTTATTGTAACAATAATCTTACGCTGACATAATTCAGTTATATTATATTCTACAGGATCGGATTCATTTCATGCGTTCTCTGTTTTTACCTCAAATCTAAGGATATTTAAGCTTCCTAGCAAACGAGAATGAATTGAAACGAATTAAAATGGATTCAGATTTTCAGAAATATTGATTCACGAATGTTAAAATGAATGCTTTTCAATTCTGAAAATTATGCATTTTTATTCATTCGTAGGAATTGCATGGAGCATATCCTTTTCAATCTAAAAATAATATTAGCTTTTTCTGCCTACACAAACACAATTGTGAATACTGTTCAATTCAAAATAGGAAATGCAATTTTTCAGTTCAATTATATCTAATTGAATCTAATTGAATCTAATTAAATCCAAAAAAAGTATTCGCTATTTAAAATACACATTCGGATAGAAAAAAATTTCAATCCATTTTAATCCATTCTCATTTGTTGAGTTATTATTTTACTATAATTGACAATATAAGCATTTCAATGATTGCAAGTAGCTATTATTATGCATATGTTTCTTTTTTCATATGTTTCAATTATAATTGTGAACATTATAATATTCGTTTTCCAGCATCTATTTTAGAGAGCAAAATAGAAAATTTATTATATTTTGTTTTTATCGATTGTAATAAATATGTATGTTTAACATTGAACATAATCCGAGTGTGATCGAAATGT